AAGTACTATAACAAGAAAAAAGAAAACAAATAAATATTATTATTTACATGAACAGTTACAAGAGTAAGAGTTCTTCCTCAAATACACTATTCTATATCACATCTTTCACATAAACTAGTTGAACCTAGATTTGCATAGAACACTTCTACTACCCCATATAATCGCAAAGTGAAATGGAGAAAAAAGTCTAGAGAAAATTATTATAATACATTCGCCCATCTCAGTTTATACAAGAAGCTCCTAAAAAAAATGTGTGCAAAATTTTTGTCCCAAGCTGAATATTTTAAATACACTAGAACTTTATGCAACAAATAAGCCAAGGTCAACATTTCTAACATTTCTATGAAAGAAAAGATTTTGTGAAAGAAAATGTACCTACACATGCACAAGTTGGTGGCATAACAACACAGAAACAGTCCCAAGGGACCTTGATACACTGTGCCACCACACACCCAAACAACAGGTCCAGGCACCATGGGCATCAAAAATTGTGAGCCAAACTTAAACCTCCGCCCTCTTAAAGTTGATTATCTTACATATTTTGTAACAGTGACAGAAAGCTGATTATGCTATTCTACTTGTACATGTTTGAAATTTATCATAATTGAAATAAGATTTACAATTACAGCTTCCTTGAATCAACTACAGGATCTTTCTTCAACCTCCCACTTTAGAATGCTACACTTATCCCAGGATATTTAGCACAGCTCATAAACAAAGCTTCCTTCTTTTGTGTCTATGAATAAAAGATTAACTTATGATACAATATTTAAGATGATACTATCTGGCATCAAAGTCCATTCAACAAGATATTACCCAAAATAACTTGTTATAAAGCAAACATGCTCCTGAAAAAAACTTTTTAAAAGGGTGTGAATTTTTGCAGTATTGGAATTATTAAAAAGTTGATCCTATTTTTTAAATTTTATTTGGTTTTATTGTATGTATGCTAAGGATTTAACCAAGTGCCTCTAAGCAAATAATCTACCACTGAGCTATAACCCCCATTCTTAGTTTTTTTTAAGCAGTTGACTGAACTGTTTGTTAATTTTTAATTAACTTTAATAAATATTAAAATTAAGATTATAGATTGTTAGGCCCAACTCCAAAGTTTCATATTAGTATGTCTGGAAGGGAGCCTGAGACTCTACACTTCTAGCAAGTTCTTAGGTAATGCTGATGTTTCTGGTTCAAGGAAGACACTTTGAGAACCACTGCTTAACCCATACCAGTTCCATCTAGAACAGGTCATACAGTGCATATCTGGTCTGCATTGCGTGTGGAATAATATTCCAGATAACACTTCCGCTTTAGCACTGCTTTAACTTATTATAGAACTAGAGTAGAGAGAGTCCAAGGAAAAAGGTAAGCTTTATTTTAGCTAAAAAACAAGGATTTTTCTACTCAATGTGCTTATATTGAGTCTTGCCCAGAATGAGTAATCTCAACTCCCATGAAATATAAGCAGAAGATGTAAAAACAAGACCAAAAAACTAAAAGTAGCTAGAAAATAACAACACACATATCTGCCCACAAACGCAAATATGCACCATCATCTACCAGATGTGCCTACAAATATTGACAAGCTTCCATAAAAGCGTCAGCATACAGATTATCATTATAGGGTAAATTGTTGATAACAATTCTGAGGCACTTTTGAAGGACCAGAATTTACACTTCCAATTTTTTAAATTCTACAAAATGAGAGAGTCTAATTTATAACTGCACCCTCAAAATCCCATTTCTTGGGGAAAGTCAAATTACATTGTGCTCATATGGATTATTGGTGCTTTTGAAAAGTAAGAAAATGGCCTAGGTTTTGGGGGAATTCAGTATGTTTAGACTTTCTGAAGATTGTGAAGTTGGCATTCTATGCTATGGGACACAAGTGCTAAGAAAAACAAATCAAGAGTTTGTTCTAGCATATTCCACTTCCAAAATATTAGTCAGAAAATCGCCTGGCTATTAACAACTATCCACTTAATGCTTACTGTGTGTCAGGTATTCTGCTAGTAACATTTAATCTTTTAAAATAGTAAGTGTAATCTTCGTTTTACAAATGAAGAAACTAAGATGAAAGCACATAAAATTCCCCAATATAAAAGTAGTTAAGGATTCAGTATTGAAATATAGGCTTTTATAGCAATTATCAGTGATACCACTGGCTTCTCAATATAGTGGTTTCTACTAATAATGGGTAACATTTATTGAGTTTTTATGAATTACTTAATGACATTAGTTTTAAAACATTACAGCATTTAACCTTCTCAGAGTTATATGTGACCATTTTCATTTTACCAGGAAAACATTCATAAGTTTCAAGAAACTTGTAAAAAGTCACATGTATACCTCAGAGAGTCAGGAACTGAACACTTCTCTGATTTAAAAACTCATGCTGTTTTTAGCGAGTATATTTAGTACACTTCTATACCTGCCTCCTACTGGATATTCAATATTTTCAACTTGCATGCACAGAATTAGATATGCTGGCTATGGGTTGTTGACATTATACTTGATCTTCAAATATTTTAATATTTACTTTTAATTTTTAGTTTGGCACCCTATACTGGTTCACACAAAGGCTTCATTTCAACTCCCCACTATTCTACATCACCATTATCGATTTCCAGAATGTTCTGCTAAATTTAAAATTAAAACTTGGGCTGGGGATTTAGCTCAGCGGTTCGGTGGCCTGCCTTGCAAGTGCAAGGTCTGAGTTCAATCCCCAGTACCAAAAAAAAAAAAAAAAAAAAAAGTAAAACTCAAACCTCCAGAGGCCTCCCCTCTGTCCATCTATAGTGACAGCATACTCAAGATTTGGAATTGTATTAGGTAAATACTATGTTTTACATAATCTGAATTTGAATAAACTTTTTTTGGCATCATTTATTATTGCTGATAAAACCAGTATTAATTAAAAAACTACTGAACAGAACTTTCAAACACTACCCCAAATTTAGCTCAAAGTCATTATGAATGAGACATTTTCCATTGTCAAACACCTTGTACAACATTCTTTGCCTGTCTGCTCATAAGCCACTACCTAGACTA